TTCCTCAGCTCTATGTTCCTCAGCTCTCACTCCTTCAGCTCTATGTTCCTCAGCTCTATGTTCCTCAGCTCTATGTTCTTCAGCTCTATGTTCTTCAGCTCTATGTTCCTCAGCTCTATGTTCTTCAGCTCTATGTTCTTCAGCTCTGTGTTCCTCAGCTCTATGTTCCTCAGCTCTATGTTCCTCAGCTCTATGTCCTTCAGCTCTATGTTCCTCAGCTCTATGTCCTTCAGCTCTATGTTCCTCAGCTCTATGTTCTTCAGCTCTATGTTCTTCAGCTCTATGTTCTTCAGCTCTATGTTCCTCAGCTCTATGTTCTTCAGCTCTATGTTCTCACAGCTCTATGTTCTTCAGCTCTATGTTCCGTCATTTCTTTTATCATCAGTTTGCATCAGATTTTATCTTCATTTCTCCAGTTTGTTGGTCAGTTACACAGACCTGTTCTCCAGCAGCAGGAGACGACACATGTAATGAGACTTTAAGATAAATCTGGGAACATAGAGCCCCGGGAACATAGAGCCCCGGGAACATAGAGCTGTGGGAACATAGAGCCCCGGGAACATAGAGCTGTGGGAACATAGAGCCGTGGGAACATAGAGCTGTGGGAACATAGAGTCCTGGGAACATAGAGCCCCGGGAACATAGAGCCCTGGGAACATAGAGCCCTGGGAACATAGAGCCCTGGGAACATAGAACCATGGGAACATAGAGCCCTAGGAACATAGAGCCCTGGGAACATAGAGGCCTGGGAACATAGAGCTGTGGGAACATAGAGTCCTGGGAACATAGAGCCCTGCGAACATAGAGCCCTGGGAACATGGAGCTGTGGAACATAGAGCCCTGGGAACATAGAGCCCTGGGAACATAGCCTGGAACATAGAGCTGGGAACATCTGGGAACATAGAGCCCTGGGAACATAGAGCCCTGGGAACATAGAGCCCTGGGAACATAGAGCCTGTGGAACATAGAGCCCTGGGAACATAGAGCTGTGGGAACATAGAGCCGTGGGAACATAGAGCTGCATGAGTTGGTGCAGTTCACACAATGACCTTTGTAGAATTCGTTCATGAACAGTTCACATTCAAACAATCTAAAGAAACAAAATGTTTCAGTTTTTGTTCAGTTCACTTAAAAGTGAAAAGGCCTCTAGAACTTTTCACACTTTTATGTGCCAGGAACAGGGAGTGTGTAAGTGCTGTGACTCTGTCCTTTTCAGAACGAACAATAAAAAGAAGAAAAACATGTTGCAAATAAAATAAAAAATAAAAAAAGCGACACAATTGATGCAGTTCTGTCCAAAGTGGAAACGGCTTCTGACTTTTTCAACCTTTTCTGCTTTGTAAATTATATCCAAAAAACACACACTCTTATATTATATTAAAGCTGCAGTGGGTCACTTTTCTGGAGGAGGGTCCGTCAAAACGTTTTTCTCCATGGAGATGTTTTTGCTTTGTCTGGAATGTCCCACAGTGTGGCATTAAACCTTTTCTGTCGTCATGGAGACCAAACCAGACCAAATTTTTCTCGGTGTTTTTGAGCTGTAGAACCTCCAGTATCTGACGAAATGTAAAGTCCAGCTGTTTAATGTCACACTGCGGAACATTTGAAGGAGAGCAATGACGTATCCATAGAAACAAGAAAGTGACAGACCCCCAACCGAAAAGTTACACAGTGCACCTTTAAGTAAATGTAAAAACGTGCTTTGGTTTAACACTGTTGTTTTTCATGAACATCATGTTTGTTTTTCAGGTCGTCGCTCCTCCAGGTCAGTCTGGTCCTTTGTACGTCAGAAGAATTAAAGAGCAGAGTTTGTAAAGATTAGAGTTTTTATTTGTGTATTTCCTTTGTTCACAATAGTGAGGATGGTGAAATACAGACGGGCCAAGACAACCAGCAGCAACTGTACTCTTCTCTTCTCCACGGTCAGTCCAAAATATGAAGCCCAGTTCTAAGATGGACTTTTAAACCTAATAAAAGAATAAACATTTTCTGTTTTTGTTTGCATTTTAGGCGACATTAATGTTTATGAACCGATCAACCTCCCGAGAAACACGAATGGTAAATTACTTTATTTCAACATCAATATTTTTATCTTTATTTTATATTCCCTTTGGACTGTGGGACCTTTGGGATGTGGGACCTTTGGGCCCTGGGACCTTTGTGTTGTGGGACCTTAGAGCTGTGGGACCTTTGGGTTATGGCACTTTTGGGATGTGGGACCTTTGAGTTGTGGGACCTTTGAGATGTGGGACCTTTGGGTTGTGGGACCTTTGGGTTGTGGGACCTTTGGGCCGTGGGACCTTTGGACTGCGGGACCTTTGGGTTGTGGGACCTTTGAGATGTGGGACCTTTGAGATGTGAGACCTTTGGGTTGTGGGACCTTTGGGTTGTGGGACCTTTGGGTTGTGGGACCTTTGAGATGTGGGACCTTTGGGTTGTGGGACCTTTGGGTTGTGGGACCTTTGGGTTGTGGGACCTTTGGGCCGTGGGACCTTTGGACTGTGGGACCTTTGGACTGCGGGACCTTTGGGTTGTGGGACCTTTGGGCCGTGGGACCTTTGGGTCTGACTCTGTTCATGTTTCTTTCCTTTCAGATGAACATCTTGAAAACTACGACAATTTTCCGCCCAGGTCCATTTAACTTCACTGACTTTTCATATTTAATGCAAGAACTTAAAGGTGCAGTGTGTAACTTTTCTGCTGGAGGCTCTGCTACTTGCATGTCTCCTAGGAGATGTTCCTGCTCTGCCTTGATTATTTCACACATGGAAATAAACTTGGTTATCACAGTGGAGAAGTTAACAGTCAGATCTACGGAGGGGCAAGTCTGTACAGAGCAACAATTCAAGTTTTTTTGTTTTGTTTTTGTTTTTTTGAGCTTCAAACACCTGTGACTGAATAAATCCAAGACTGTTGTGTTTAATGCCAGACTGTGTAACATTTCACTAGGGGTGTGTAAAAATATTAAAATATCGATGTATTTTTTCATTTTATGGTTTAATGATACAGGATCGATATCGTGGGCTGCTGTTTCGATATATCGCCAAGAGTATTTTTTATTTTGTTATTTTGTGACCTTCTTCCTCTTGTGTAAATCTGTGATTTTATATTTTATTATTTTTCTATTTTATTTTGACTTGTACATTTACATTTATATAATTCTGTTTTATTTCACACGTGTTTCTTTTCTGCTTCTTATTTAGAATTTATTATCACATTTATATTTTTGCTCTGATTATAGATTGTATTTTATTGTGACGTGTGAATCTGTGTTTCAGTCTTTGGATCAATAAAGTTTAAGTTTAAGTCTGAGTCTAAATCTACAGTTTTGTTGTTTGTTCAGAGGAGTTTGTTCGTTTACGCGACACATTTGACATTTTCACAGTTTTGACGATTAAAATTGGCTTTTTTTACTTTCACTTTGCACAAGAAGCGGTTTAACAAAGACTTTTAGGATCAGAGCCGAGATTTAGATTTTATTTTTTATTAAACTGTATTGAATCGATCTGAAATATATTGAATCAAATGGAAAGTATCCCCGCCCCCTGAGAGAGAGACACCTATCCCCGCCCCCTGAGAGAGACACACCTATCCCCGCCCCTGAGAGAGAGACACACCATCCCCGCCCCCTGAGAGAGACACACCTATCCCCGCCCCCTGAGAGAGAGACACCTACACCTATCCCCGCCCCCTGAGAGAGAGACACACCTATCCCCGCCCCCTGAGAGAGAAACACCTATCAACAGAACTAAACCAGAACTAAAACCAGGAGTAAAATCAGGTCTAAACCAGGATTTAACCAGGACTAAACCATCCCACAGACCGGATGTTTGTAGACCCAAAACTGGTCCGTGGAGCCAAAAAGTTTGAGGACGACTGGATTTACGTTCCAACATTTTTATTCAAACGTTCGTCTAAATGACTTTTTTCCTGTGATAAATGAAAATACTGTTTTACATCGAACGTGTTTCTCAATCCTGGCAAAGTTTTTTTTTAAAAGCCCAACGGCGGATCAGGCACGTTTGAACAAAGATGAAATGTTTTCTGTGACAAAACGTAGTTGGTCGTTTCTTTGAGGAAGACGGCGAGTTTTCGAACACGACCGGGCGGAAATCATTAAACCCAATCTGGCAACACCGATGTCAAGTTACAGCGTGGACACTTTTCTTTTTCTTTTTTTTTTATTTACTTGATGCGGCTTAAATTCAGGTCCAACAGCCCAACAGTCCGGAGATTACGGTGAGTCCACTGCAGCCCATGCTCGCGTCCTGAAACGGCGGCGAGCGGGTGAGCCGTGTCCTTTTTTTATAAACGGTCGAGGGTCACATCTTGGTCATGTCGGCTGTTTCCGTGTCCACGTCTATCACTTGAAATCCCAGGTTGTCGATGCCCAGTTTGGCGTGGTTGGCGAGGTTCTGTTGGCTCGGGCAGTTGGCGTTCCTCTGCTCCACTTCGGCGCTGAAGCAGAGGGCGCAGTGGGGCGTGCTCACCGGAACGCTCCTGGAAAAGTTCGAAAAATCCACGCAGTACTTCCCCGTTTTGGTTTTGGAGACGATGGGCAGGAAGGTGTGCCCCCACTGGACCTCCTGAGGGACGTAGGAGGTGCGTACCTGACAGGAAGAGCTTGTCGATTCGGCGGTTCCGTCGAGAAAAACAACCAGCTCGAAGTCCTGCTGCGGGAGGCTGTCCGAGGAAAGTTCGTAAAAAGGGCTGGACCTGTCAATCACGTGGTACAGCGTCAAAGGGCAAACGAAAAACAAGTTATCCTTCCCTGCGTCAACCGCGAATTCTACGTCCACCTGGTCCAGAATGACCGCCTCTCCGTCCGGCGTCAACGAAGTCCGTACGAGTTTTCCGTAAATGTGGCTCCTGATTAGCAGCGTTTTCCGAAGGTTTGCGACTCGGATCAGGAGGCAGAGGCGGCCGTTTTTCAAGCAGATCACCGCCGTGTCGCTGAAGGTCACCGTTTTCGCGCGCTTTTTCGGCAGCGAGATTTTGGCCAAGATCACGCCGCACACGAAGCAGTTGATGAAGACGCCTACGAGGGACTGGACCACGATGAGGGCGACGGTCCCGGGGCAGCTGCCGGTCAGCGCCCGTCCTCCGTATCCGATGGTCGTTTGAGTTTCGAGGGAGTAGAGGAAGGCCGTGGTCAGGCCGTGTACGTTGTCTATACACCTGGCGTGTCCGACGGTGCGGTTTTGGCCGGCGAGGTCTCCGTTGCTCCTGGCGATCCAGTACCACAGCAGGCTGAAGAAGAACCAGCTGCCGGCGAAGGAGGCGACGAAGAGCAGGACGACGAATCTCCAGCGGATTTCGACGACGGTGGTCCACATGTCCCCGAGGAGGGCGAGGCGGGCGCCGTGGTCGTGCTCGATGTTGCAGCGGCCGTCCTTGGAGACCAGGCGGGCGGGTCGGCGGGCGGGTCGGCGGGCGCGGGGTCCCTGGAGCAGCTGGAACATCGTGGAGCTGAGGAGGAACGGCAGAGGAACGTCAGAACTGAAGAAAAAGGACAGATACTCGGGCTAAAGAATATTCAAGTAAAAATAAAACTACTGAAGTACTTGTACTAAAATGTACTTTAAGAGTAAAAACTAAAAGTATTTTGAAGCATTTTTATTTTTTTGAATAATTAAAGCATCAAATGTAGAGACTTTGTGCAATTAGAACATTTAAATCTGTCAGAAAATGTCTGAACTAAACCTGGTTTAGTCCTGGTCCCATCTGTCACCAGGTGACTAAACCAGGTCTAATCCTGAACCAGGACTAAACCAGGACTAAACCAGGACTAAACCAGGACTGACTAAACCAGGACTAAACCAGGACTAAACCAGGACTAACCAGGACTAAACCAGGACTAAACCAGGAAACCTCTAAACCAGGACTAAACCAGAACTAAACCAGAACTAAACCAGGACTAAACCAGGACTAGACTAAACCAGGACTAAACCAGGACTAAACCAGGACTAAACCAGGACTAAACCAGGTCTAAACCAGGACTAAACCAGGACTAAAAGGACTAAACCTTTAAAATCCATATATAAACAGACATTGTGAGTGTGAGCGGAGTCGCCTCTCCACAGATCTGACCTGTGACTTGCTCTGGTTTGGTCTCCATGTAGATAGAAAGGTTTAATGTCGCACTGTGGAACATTCCAGACAAAGCAACAACTACTCCCTGGAGAAAAGTTCCACAGTGCAGTTTTAAGTCAGAGCTGATATTTGGTCCGTTTGGTCGTGCAAAGTTACACACACACACACACACACACGCACACACAACACACACACACACACACAGACACACACATGCACACACACACTCTGCAGCAGCATCTCTCCGGGGGCTCCCGCATGTACGTCTATGATGGAATGTTCAGCGGTTACCACGGCGACGCGGCATCAGCCAACAGCGCGGCGGCTCCAGACGGGCTCACCTGCCTGGAGAGTTCAGATGAATCCACTTTCGGTGCCGGGACCCGGGTCAGGTCCACGGGAGCGTCTGACAGAGCGGTGCCTCGGGTTAGCGTCGGGGCCCCGGGGGAGTGCGGGGGGGCGACGGCGGCGGCGGAGCGCGGCAGAGTCACGGTGAAGTGTGAAGTTGTGTGTGTGTTGTGGTTGTTTTTGTGTTGACCGTGGGCCCTTCGCCGCTGCTTTAATCCACACTGAAATGTTCTAATCCAAGGCACATGTCCAACTGTGCCCCGACCGCCGCTACGCCCGCCCCGACCGGCCCCGACACCACCGGCACCCGCGGGCGTCAACACTCACCCACTCTCAGACCCCTCCTCTCTCCTCTCTCCTTCCTCTCTCCTTCCTCTCTCCTCTCCTCTCTCCTCTCTCCTTTCCTCTCTCCTCTCCTTCCTCTCTCCTCTCTCTCCTCTCCTCTCTCCTTCCTCTCTCCTCTCCTTCCTCTCCTTCCTCTCTCCTCTGTCCTTCTTCTCTCTCTCTGTACTGTACAGCTGCAGTGTGGACGTCTCGGGCCCCTGAGCTCTTTGTGGCAGCGCTGTGGGGGCCATCTTGGTGCTGGAGGGCCCCGCGTTGGTTTTGTTCAGATCCTGAGAACTGTTTTTTTTTTTTTTTTTTTTGGGGGGGGGGGTCTCACAAAGAAAGAGCTTCCAGTAAAAACCCTCCCCCCAAACAGAACAGTACAGCCACAGGAATTAACATGAGAAAGAGAAAGGAAGGATCCAAGTCCGACAGGGACAGCGGCAGGGACAGGGACAGGGACAGGGGACAGGGACAGGGACAGGGCAGGGGAAGGGACAGGGCAGGGGAAGGGACAGGGGACAGGGACAGGGCAGGGACAGGGCAGGGACAGGGGCAGGCAGGGACAGGGACAGGGACAGGGGACAGGGACAGGGACAGGGGGGACAGGGACAGGGGCAGGGACAGGGGCAGGGACAGGGACAGGGGCAGGGACAGGGACAGGGGCAGGGACAGGGGCAGGGACAGGGACAGGGGCAGGGCAGGGGGCAGGGACAGGGACAGGGGACAGGGACAGGGACAGGGGCAGGGACAGGGGACAGGGAACAGGGACAGGGACAGCGGCAGGGACAGGGCAGGGCAGGGGCAGGGACAGGGACAGGGACAGGGACAGGGGCAGGGACAGGTGCAGGAAAAGTACCGTGTAGTTTTCTGTGTTTTTCAGAACTCATTTTCTAGACAGACACAAACACCATCCAAACTTTTTACACAGTCAAAACCAGGACTAAACCGGGACTAAACCAAGACTAAACCAGGACTAAACCAGGTCTAAAACAGGACTAAACCAGGTCTAAACCAGGACTAAACCAGGACTAAACCAGGTCTAAAAACAGGACTAAACCAGGTCTAAACCAGGACTAAACCAGGACTAAATCAGGTCTAAACCAGAAATAAACCAGGACTAAACCAGGTCTAAACAGGACTAAACCAGGACTAAACCAGGTCTAAAACAGGAAACAGGACTAAACCAGGTCTAAAACAGGACTAAACCAGGACTAAACCAGGACTGGGACCAGTAAATGTGTGTGTGTGTAAATGTGTAAATGTGTAAATGTGTGTAAATGTGTGTGTAAATGTGTAACTGTGTGTAAAGGTGTAAATGTGTGTAAATGTGTGTGTAAAATGTGTGTAAATGTGTGTGTAAATGTGTGTGTAAATGTGTGTGTAAATGTGTGTGTAAATGTGTGTGTGTGTGTAAATGTGTGTGTGTAAATGTGTGTGTAAATGTGTAAATGTGTTTGTGTAAATGTGTGTGTGTAAATGTGTGCGTAAATGTGCAAATGTGTAAATGTGTTTGTGTAAATGTGTGTGTGTAAATGTGTGTGTAAATGTGTGTGTAAGTGTGTAAATGTGTTTGTGTAAATGTGTGTAAAGGTGTAAATGTCTGTGCAAATGTGTGTGTAAATGTGTGTGTAAATATGTAAATGTGTGTGTAAAAGTGTGTGTAAATGTGTAAATGTGTGTGTAAATGTATGTGTAAATATGTGTGTGTAAATGTGTGTGTAAATGTGTAAATGTGTAAATGTGTGTAAATGTGTGTGTGTGTAAATGTGTGTGTAAATGTGTAAATGTGTGTAAACGTGTAAATGTGTGTGTGTGTAATGTGTAAATGTGTGTAACTGGGTAAATGTGTGTGTAAATGTGTAAATGTGTAAACGTGTAAATGTGTGTGTAAATGTGTAAATGTGTGTAACTGGGTAAATGTGTGTGTGTAAATGTGTAAATGTGTAAACGTGTAAATGTGTGTGTAAATGTGTAAAATGTGTGTAACTGGGTAAATGTGTGTGTAAATGTGTAAATGTGTAAACGTGTAAATGTGTGTGTAAATGTGTGTAAATGTGTAAATGTGTGTGTAAATGTATGTGTAATGTGTAAATGTGTGTGTAAATGTGTAAATGTGTGTAAATGTGTGTGTAAATGTGTAAACGTGTAAATGTGTGTGTAAATGTGTAAACGTGTAAATATGTGTGTGTAAATGTTTAACTGTGTGTAAAGGTGTAAATGTGTGTAAATGTGTGTGTAAACGTGTAAACGTGTGTGTATGTGTGTAGATGTAAAGACCACTTAGGTCTTCACCTTTATCTATTCATTCAGTTGGGTGAAATTCTTATTTGTTACATGATTCTGTTGTGTTTGGTCCTGTATTTGTTATGTAAATGTCATTGTTTCAGGCGATGTCTGTTTATTGCGCCCTCCCCGGACGCACGGGGATTTAAGGGGAGAAGGACGCGCGCGCGGGCACGGGCACAGGTGTGACGTCACACGCCGTTTTGGACGCCTGCCAGGAGCTGTCGGTGCCGTGGGTCCACGCTATTGGAATATTGTCGCTGCATTTTTGGAATATCGCGTTGCCAATCGTGTTGGGATCTTATTTTACCACGGGAGCTGCTGGACTGAGCGTCAGAACCGGAGCGCGGGTGGCGTGAGTAAAATAGCAAACTGTACCGTCTCACGTCACGCTGCCGCGCAGCGGGGGGGAAAGACTTTGGGAACTTTTGGGGGAAAGTTGCTCGGGACTGTTGTGGTGAAGGGTGGTGGGCATTTATCGGACTGTTTCTTTATTGTTTTGTTGCACTGGGGTTTGGGTTTTGTGTTTGAGTTTTGGGGACTGGGGCGCTCGAGCGCGGGGTGGTGGTATCGTGTGTTGTGTGGCCGTATTTGTGTGTCCGGCGATGCCAATAAAAGCCGGATAGACCAACAGCATTTCCTTTATTGCGTGTCTTTGTTTCACCCCCGCTGATATGAATGGATCCTCCCGCGACCTTAATTTTGCGTTGTAGCTTTTCTCTTGGCGAGAACAGGTGAATTGTTACAATGTGTGTAAATGTGTAAATGTGTGTGTGAAATGTGTAAATGTGTGTGTAAATGTGTAAATGTGTGAGTAAATATGTGTGTGTAAATATGTGTGTAAATGTGTGTGTAAATGTGTGTAAATGTGTGTGTAAATGTGTAAATGTGTCTGTAAATGTGTGTGTAAATGTGTGTGTAAATATGTGTGTAAATGTGTGTGTGTAAATGTGTGTGTAAATGTGTAAATGTGTGTAAACGTGTGTGTAAATGTGTAAATGTGTGTAACTGGGTAAATGTGTGTGTAAATGTGTGTGTAAATGTGTGTAAATGTGTAAATGTGTGTGTAAGTGTGTAAATGTGTGTGTAAATGTGTAAATGTGTGTAAAGGTGTAAATGTCTGTGCAAATGTGTGTGTAAATGTGTAAATGTGTGTGTAAACATGTGTGTGTAAATGTGTGTTTAAATGTGTAAATGTGTGTGTAAATGTGTGTGTGTAAATGTGTGTGTGTAAATGTGTAAATGTGTGTGTAAGTGTGTAAGTGTGTAAATGTGTGTGTAAATGTGTAAATGTGTGTGTAAATGTTTAAATGTGTGTAAGTGGGTAAATGTGTGTGTAAATGTGTAAATGTGTGTGTAAATGTATGTGTAAATGTGTGTAAACGTGTAAATGTGTGTGTAAATGTGTAAATTTGTAAATGTGTTTGTAAATGTGTAAATGTGTGTGGGTAAATGTGTGCGTGTGTGTGTGTGTGTAAATGTGTGTGTAAATGTGTAAATGTGTAAATGTGTGTGTAAATGTGTAAATGTGTGTGTGTGTGTGTGTGTGTGTGTGTGTGTGTGTGTGTAATGTGTGTGTGTGTGTGTGTGTGTGT